AGCACGGCCGAACACAAAGAGGGGGGGGGGGGGTTCATCAGGTCTTCATCTGCAGTCGACAAAAACCGGAAAGGATGATCAAAATATTTATCGTATCGAAAAGAACAGATAAAACACACGCAAGGCTTTGATTTTGGGGTTGGATATCACGCACACATGCGATGTCCGGCGCATGAACGCATGAATACGTGGCACCAACACCGACCGTTGCGGCAGCAGCAGCAGCAGCAGCAGCCGTCCGTGTAACCGCTCCACGAAAGCATGATACCATGGGTGGGAGTACAAGCAACGCGCCTGCCTGACACGGCAATAAGCTATTGCTACGCACAAGCACCACAAGCACAAGCACAAGCACAAGCACAGCCACGAGCAGCAACGACACGACACTAACGAGCTTGTAACAAACCTCTTATAGTCTCCCTCCCCCCCAAGGGCTCAGCGCATCGGCGCCGCGAGCTACTAGAAGGGCTTAAGCGAATCGAATGACCTCATCATACCAACGACAACAACAACAACAACAACAACAACAACAACAAGTTGTTTGGCGAGTAGTCTTTTCACCTGGAGACTCTCCACGAGGTGTCCAACCTTCGCGAGCGTCTCCTGCTCCAGCTGGCCGCGTCCCATCTTACCGAACAAAATACCCACCGCCTTCGAAAATTCGACAAACGAAAGTGGCAGAGGGAAGGTTGGGGGGGTTAGGCTACTTCGGTAGCGTCCTATCACCACCACCCCAGTGGACAGAAAACCCACGACCTTTGCTTGTGTGAGACATAAACTTGACGAGCGAGGGGAGTGGGGGGCGGAGAGAAGGTAAAGTCTCAGAGTGGCATAAAAGCTACCGTGCACCAATTCGATCACTACCGTACGTTCGTTGCCATCGATACACAAAAAAGAACTCGCCGAGGCTATCCTTCCCTGTTCAATACCAACGGGAAGGAAAAGGGCAAAAGGACAAAAAAACGATTGAGCGATAAACACCAAGACAGGACGGAGACGATCGCCGTAACCACCAGTAGCTAAGGTATACTACCTAGCCCCCCCGGGCACCGCGAAGGAAGGCTTAGCGCGCTCTATCTTTGTGTAGGCATGCCAGAAGGGCATGAAGCGGATCAGGAACAGCGTCGAGAGGCGCTGTCTTGATGTCGGTGTGCGACCCGGATTCCCAAGTCGCGAGCATATAAGGCTTGGGTGTCACCCACTCGAGTTTGTTGGGGGACACAGCACAACCGTGCGAGACGGATACACGTGGCCTAGCGAAGTGGACAGGCAGGCCACAATACTTCTTCTTTTTTTTTAACAAGTTTCATGAAACACGTTCGGGACAAAAATGCACACAGAAACAAAAGTAGCTGCGGAGTGTGCTCTCTCGCGTGGAAACCGAGCAACAGCAGGGCACGTGCACACGCTACATGGGCAATACCACACACCTTCGTCACATCCCCAAGCATCTTCTTCTCCGGTGGGCTGAGTGGGGCCTCGCTCAGGGCGCCCAGCATGTCGTTCAGGGCCGACACCACCGCCTGGCTCTCGGCGTCGGACGGCGGCGGCGCAGCCGCCGCTGCCGCCGCTACGGACGAAGCCGCCGACGCGGTCGACGTCGGCGCCGCCGCCGCCGCCCCCGGCGCGGATGGAGACGAAGAAGGCATCATCCCGCCGGCTCCGCCCCCTTCTCTCATCCCCCTCATCGGCGAGTGCACGGCGCCTCCAGGCGCCCCTCCGGGGCCTACCCCCGCTCCACCGCCCGGCCGCATTCTGTTGCTACCGCCGGCGTCACCCGGGAACCCCGCTCCTCCAGGGTAACCCCCCGCCCCGCCCGGGGTCCCTCCTCCGACGAACCCACCCTGCTGGTACGGAGAGGAAGAAGCCGACATCCCTCCCGCGAGCCCGCCCGCGGCGGCGGGGGGGTAGGCTCCTCCTCCTCCTCCTCCTCCTCCTCCTCCTCCTCCTCCGCCGGGCCCCGCGTTCATCACCGTCGCCCCGCCGGGCCCAGCGTACGGGGCTGCGACGCCGCCGCTCGCCACGGGGTTACTGTACTGCCGTTGCTGGTGCTGCTGCGGTTGTTGCTGCGGTTGGTGGCGCCCGAACGACGCTCCCCCCGCGGTTAAGGCCGATATCGGGCCGGTGTACCCCGGCTTCACAGGGGAAGTGGGAAAGGAGGCCGCGGCGCCGGCGCCGGCGGCAGCGGGGTTGGCGCGATTGTACGGGGAAGAAGTAGCCTGGGGCATCCGCGGCGCGTGCGGGGAAGGGACGGCACGGGTGGTGGCAGCCGGGGGCGGGGCGGGGCGCTCCCACTGGGTCTCGCCGGTGGCCGTGTTGCAGTAGTACGGGATATTCCGCGAGGGGTCCATCTGAGCGTGTTGGAGCGTGCGAGGCGCGCGCCAATAGTACGTGATAGCAGCGGCGGCGTGGCGCGGCACCAGACGGTTACAGGACACGCGGGGGTGGAAAAAGACGACAGCAAACACGGAGAGCACGAAAGCTGGTACTTAGTGCGCAAAACTGTCATAGCGGCGATCAGGGACTCATCTTTGATCGCATGTTCACCGTGTACCAACCACGTTCTCGTTTTCTTTTGTCACTCTGGGAAATCGAACTCTCTCATCTTCTCTTCTTCTGTTGCGTGCCAACTTTTCATTTTCTGCATTGTCCGTACTGCTAGCAGAGGGACTGTGTTTCTCCCGCCGTGTCTACACCCCCCCCCCCGGCGCCTGCCCTCTCTCCTACATACCATCTGCGTCCAGCCCGGAGGGAGAGCGTCACCGCCCCCGCCCGCCACCGTGCTTCCTCGCAGGTCAGACCGAATGTGGGCAGAGCCGGCACCACCGCCACCGGCCGCGGCGCCGTTAGCCCCGCCTCTTCCCATCCCCGCTCCGCTGCCGCCGCCGACAACGCTCTGGGGGGAAACCCCGACGCGCGCTCGCTCGAAGGGGAAAGGCGGGGCGGGGGTACCGGCCGCGTGGGACGCCGAGTGGTAAAGCCTGCCGCCAGACCAAGGACCAAACACGACAAAAAGGCACCGGGAACGAAGAGAGAAAAAATGAGACGGGGAGCAAAGGCCGATGCCGTCCGTCCGTCGGCAGATGGAATGATGAGAGAGAGAAAAAAAACGGCAGGAAGCAAAAAATACAGCAGGTAACCGAGGTGCAAGCTAGGTGGGAGATGCCCTTCTCATGATGATAGCGCACGCGTCTCTTGTCCCTCCACTGGTTGATGTCGATCATTTGTCCCCTGCCACCACACGCTGGTGCTGCATTCATTGCCCGCTTGACACATTCTGGTGCTCTATTTGTTATTTGTCCCCCTCACACACCTGTCCTGAAGAACGGCGCCGTTCTGGCCCTGCCCCTTGATGTACTTGAAGGCCGTCTCCGTCTCACCCTCACTGGCCAGGATGCCCGCGTACTCAGCGAAGATGGCCGATACCTTTTTGGGAGAGCAGCGGTGGTCTAGCATTGCTGCAAAAATTGACAGACAAAACACGTCTCTCAAGCGCTACTTACACCGCCCGCTCCTCGCCACACCGCCGGCTCCGAGCAACAAACGGAAGGACTCCAAAGCTCTTCGACGTACCGTATATTAAGTCGTGTGGCACATCGCACGCGAACGAAAGAAACGGTTCAAGACTACACGCATGGTGAAAGAAAAAAAAACTTCACGTCAATCAAGTTATTATGGAAGAAAAATAAACGCATTAGTCTATTCGTTTCAATCCCAACAACCCTCGAGAGAAAACGAAACAATAAAGACATACAGGCATAGGCATACGCACATGCATGACAGTGACACAGCAACCACAGGGACGGAACAGACAAACGAGACAAGACAGACAGACAGGCAGACAGAATCACACACCTCCTCTCCGGGAGGGTCGTTCGGTTCCTGGGTAAAGACCGAAACCTTCTCCACGAACTCCTGGAGCGCCTGTAGCGAAAAAGGGCGGCGGGGGACGCGGGACGGGAGGACTGGATGAATAAAAAGGAAGAAAATAAGACATAAAAATCAAAACGAAACAAAACAAAACAAATCACACAGCCAGGGGAAACACTAACATTCAGTGGGACCGATGAACGGACGATCCGGTGGCATGCTTGATAATCGCGCGTGCGATTCAGCGCTCCAACCATAGCAATGGAGCACCATGCCAAAACAAAACATGTGCACTCTCCTTCCGGATGCGAAGAAGAGCCATCATCGTCGGCGCGTCCGCCTGACAGGTATCTTTGACGGACATTTTCCATGTATCATTTCCATCCCTCGACACCAGTACACACAGAAAAGGCGCTTGTAACCCTTGAGATACCAACCACTGCCCAGCTCACCACTACGCGCGGCATGAGTGACAGGCCTGTCTCCATTCATGCACAGGTACCAAGACATCATGACGACACAGCAGTCTTACACAGCGCTACATTCAGTGACAAATACACCACCCCGTGCGTGTTGTTGCCCTTACCAACATCACACAAACGAACGACACCCCACACGACGAGTGCATCGCGCTACGGCACGGTTCGAGAAGCCTGCACCAGCAAAAAACATGTTTCGTCTGTCTCGACCGCGCTCCTCGCCCCCCTCCCACCTTCGTGTCCGTGCCCCCGTTGATGGCTGCGTTGGCCGACTTGAGCTCATCCGCCCACATCTCCACCGTCTTGGGCACCTTCACAGCGCACCTGGTAGATGAATTAGAGAGACGCGCCGCAGAGCCCGGGGTGACAGATACTTAGGGGGGTTGGGGTCGATTGGTGGTGCCCCAAGGGTCGAACGGCCGGCGGCACTGCTGCCTACTTAACGTCGCCTTTTGGGACACATTTTTCCTAATTCGAGTCGGCGTGTGCAGTGGTTGCGCCATCAAATGGGGGGCACGGACAGGGTGTTGCCACCATTTGTGCTAGATTCTCAACACGAACACTACCGGGATACAAGAATCAATCCATCTAGGAACAAGGAACGCCCTTCTCTTCACTCACGATGGCAATTGTGCCACCGGCACGGGTAAGCATTGGTACCAAACAGGAGGTACTCGATGGATAAAATGTATCGGTGTATCGGACCGCTTTTTCGGCTGTAACACTGCAACACCACCCCGGCATGCCAAACTGCAAAGCTGGAGTTTGCTACAACATGCTTAGCCCCCCCCCCCCCCCCCCCCCC